GGGAGTTGAAGTCCACTCATCTTAAAGTGGCCAAGTTTGGACAACACTGAGATAGATAGATAGAAAACGGTTTACATACTAATTTTAGTACAACCAGTGCTACCTATCAGAAACTTCCTAGGTATATAATCTGAACAAGATATTTCTTCAGAGTAAAAGTCCATCCTAAACTATTAGCCTTCTGTGATTATGCAGGGCAAAAGCATATCCTGATGGGAAAATCGAGTCCTTTACCAAAATGAATTAAATAGCTTAGCTGCTCACGAAGAGCTGACTTTAAACATCTTTTGTCTGTGTATCTTTTTTTTAGATGCTGGAAAATCAACAATTGGAGGACAAATAATGTAAGTAATTTTTTTCCCCAAACTACTAGAATGTTTCTGCACATCTAGAAAAAAGAAAAATACATATTTGATTTAGTCAGCTTAGGCTTCTCTTAACTGACCTTTTAGTCTGAGTCGAAAGGTGTAACTATAATCAAAGAATACTACAGCTGATAATCTGAAACACTTTTAGTACAAAATACGTTTCTGTTTTTGGGAGAGCTTATTAAAAATTTAATAGGCATTATTGCTGTTCTGTTCACTTTGCAATGTGCCACTTCTTGATCTTCCCAATTTGTTCTGAGTGCAATTTTTGAATAACCTACTTTATATGCAGTTCTGCATTCTGGAAACCACAGACTGACCAAACTGGGTTCAGTTGCACTTCCATCCATTTCGTTCTATTTACTGTTTAAAAAAAAAAATGTAACTCTTCTGAAACTGCTTTTTACATATAGGCTGTTTCTTCTTCATAACTCATATACAAAACTCTTTTCAGGTACTTGACAGGCATGGTTGATAAAAGAACACTTGAAAAATATGAAAGAGAAGCTAAAGAAAAAAACAGAGAAACCTGGTATGAAGCCTACGTTTTAAAATTTAACCCACTTTAAATTAGGACAGCCTGTCCTAACCTCATGCCTTCCAGATGATTGAACCGGTTTTCAGAATTCCTGATGGTTTGAACCAGGACCTAGCTTGCTCACTTCAGAAGACATGAGAGATTGTACATCAAGATAAAACTGGCTTGCAATTCTGTAAATTGATGCAGCAAACTAAAAGCAATTTCTAGGTTGTTTAGTTATGTAGCTAGCAGGAAAGAGAGAGCAGAAATGAATGGGCTGCATGTGTGCAGAGCATGCTGTCTGGGGAATTCTGAGAGTTGAAGTCCACACATCTTACAGCTGCTCAGGTTGAGAAACACTGGTCTAGAATTCTGACTTTGGGCATTGTCTGCACAAGGAATGGATGTAATGCAACTAAAAACTAATCCAAAACATTCCCCTGCCTGCTTAAGGAATCCCCAGTGTTGGTATAATATCATCATGAATAATTTCAATTTATGTTCTTGTACAGTTAATTATAAATTTGATTTATAATTGTCTGGGTTCATCCACTAGGAAGAGCCCCCAGAGGAAGATTAGCTCTTCTGCCAAGTTCTTAGCAATTAGCAGCTAAGAAAGTCTCTTTGCAATCAGGAGGAGACAGATCTTGTGTCTCCTAGTGAACCTCCACCTTGAATCCCATCCTCCCCCCAGCAAAGGCTAGAAGCCAGGGATACTTGCCAGGGAGTTGGCAACTGCCCAGCAAAGAGTAGACAAGGACTTGAAAGCCAGGAGAACGAAAGTTGTCCCGAGAGAATGTGCCAAGCAGAGTAGATTTTCCCTAGGAAAGTAGCAGCAGCAGCACCTTGGATCTGGTTACCACTTGGAGCGGAGACCATGAGGAAATGCCAAGTCTATAAGCTGGGCTGAGAAATTGATGAAACAACCTAGAAGAACCGAGAGGCAAACTGCATATATAAAATGCATATATATGTCCATGTGGTCACCATTCACAACACACGTAAAAAGGGGGTGTGGCTTCAGTCACATGGTTGTAGCCAGCATCTTGACTTTCTTTACCCCCCTCCCTGCAGATAGCCCCTGCATGCCCTTTCCTGAGTTGCATGCCGCCCTGCAAAGCCTGAAATAAAATCCACAACTGTATAGAAGCATTTAAGTTAGTTGCTGGAAATGCTGAGAATGCTCGGATACGTTTTAGGGTAGGACCTATCATAAATCCCCAAAATAAGTGTAATCAGTCAATTTTATATTGGATATTTCCCTTCTTATTTATTTATTTTTTTTAATAGGTATCTCTCTTGGGCCTTAGACACAAACCAGGAAGAGCGGGACAAAGGGAAAACAGTAGAAGTGGGCCGTGCCTATTTCGAAACAGAGAAGAAACACTTCACAATTTTAGATGCCCCAGGGCATAAGAGCTTTGTTCCAAATATGATAGGTGGTGCTTCTCAAGCTGATTTAGCTGTATTGGTAAGAGCCTTTCTTGTTTACAGATCAGTTGGAGAACTGTTTGAATTGATCTGCCCTTTTTTTTTTCCCTTTTGGTAGTTGCACTATTTGTTTTATTGATCTAAAATTTTAAACTGCCCAGTAGCTGAAGGTCTCTGAGAAGTTAGCAGTAAAGCCTGCTAAAAAACATATAGTAAAAACATGTAGATGTTAAAGAGCGGGTTCAAACGATAGGTTCTCTGTCGATCTTTGAAATGTTCTTATACTGTAAAAACAAGAAGATGGAGCAGTGGTTTTCTGAATGGTCTCTATTAACAAGTGAAAGGGCTAAGCTTGCTATATATTAGTATTTTTCATTGGGACCGATTATAGAGATTTTTTTCCCTTCATTTTTTTCAGTTTGTTCTTTTTTATGCTATTATTGTGTTGTTTATTTTTGCTGTTAATGCAGTCATAAAATTATAAAAACTGTTATTTAATAATAATTGTGCTGCAGCAATCTATAAAGGGCCTGTGCAGTTCTTGTAGCTATCTAGTAACCTGTTTGAGTGGACGCTGTTTAGCTCAGCGTGTACCTGTTAAGGAGACTGATATTATAAAACCAGAAGTAGTGACCCAAAAAATTGCTCAGATCGGCACCCTGTGGGGTTGTAGCAATTCTCAGCATAAGACATAAATGCAAAGCCTTAAGTTTGAGAGCTATCTGATGATCATTCTACTGACCAGAGGCAAACGGGGGATTGCATTGTGGCCAAACGCTCGAAAGGGCTAACTTGATTTTTCTTCCAATCAGGTAATCTCTGCAAGAAAAGGAGAATTTGAAACTGGTTTTGAGAAAGGAGGGCAGACGAGAGAGCATGCCATGCTAGCAAAAACAGCAGGTGTAAAACACTTAATAGTTCTCATTAATAAAATGGATGACCCAACTGTGAACTGGAGCAACGAAAGGTAAGTACTATATTTACTTTGTACCAAAGTTGGATGCTGGGATGGGGGTCATTTTGCTTCTTCTTTTATAAATGGAGCTGGGCTCATGCAGATTTGATAGATAAGGTCCAAAGATGAGGTGTAATTACTTTAATAAAGGCAAATATGTGTAGAAGTCTCTGCTAGTTTCAAAAAACTTTCTGAATTAGGTGGAGGGTGTGAATTTGACTTAACCTCTGACTTCAACTCTGATGTATCTCAAACATATTTTGAGATGAAACGTAAAAGTTTTTTCTCCCCTGTGACTGATCTTTCAGGTATGAAGAATGTAAAGAAAAACTGGTGCCATTCTTGAAGAAAGTAGGGTTCAATCCCAAAAAAGACATTCACTTCATGCCCTGCTCAGGACTGACTGGAGCGAATCTCAAGGAGCAGTCTGACTTCTGTCCTTGGTATATGTAGGTATCTAATTTAATGGGATCCCTGCTTCGCCATAGAGCGCAATATTCAAAGCAAAAAAGTCTTGAAACAAAATGCACGATTGCATTTAAACAGGCCCAGTCAAATACACACTCCAGGTTCAGAGATGCTGGGAAGAATTAGTTTTCTCCTAGGTTGCACCACTAACAGCTGTATCACTGACAACTGGCTAGACTGGACCTGCCTTTGGAGGATGGCAGAGAAACGAGTGGATCTCTATTAATTGGTCTCATGGCACCCTTTGCCTCCAGAGCCAAAAGCAGATTTTTTGGGAGGCTGACAGATTGATTTTGGAAAGGACAGCAAGCCACCTTCTGCTTTGATCTGCCAGGCACACTGCTACATCCAGTTCCTGGCTTTGTAGGTTTTAGTCCGTTAACCAAGTTCAGCCTAAACCAGACTAGTATGTGGAAGCATCTATGATGCCCTAGTGCACTGTTTCTCAACCTTGGCAACTTGAAGACGTGTGGTCTTCAATTCCCAGAATTCCCCAGCCAGCATGCCCAAAGACAATCTAGATGTTACATGGCTGGCTGGGGGATTCTGGGAGTTGAAGCTCACACGTCTTCAAGTTGCCAAGGTTGAGAAACAGTGCCCTAGTGGAAGAAGCCCCCAGAGCACTGTTTCTGTAGAACTGCTGTTTTGGCTGAAGGTTATGGGAATTTTGGCCTGAAGACACCAGAGGCTGCCAAGTTAGGGAAGGACAATCTCACCATGGTGCATTTTTCTGAAGGTCACACAGGGGCTAGCAAGAGCATACCGGACACAAGCAGTCAACTAGGGTGATGAAGTAGTGGCAAGTTACAGTTTGCCCAAAGAGAATCTAGATGTTACATTGGACCTTTGAGGATAAAAGACTCAGTTTCTGCAAGCGGTAGAACCAGGAGTAGAGTATATATGTAGCTCGTGGTTAAACTGTTGGGTTCTTAGTGTTTCTGAGGTTGGTGGTGAAACCTTTTACTAAAAGGCATAACTTACTCCTGCAGCCCCGTGCCAACACCTTGACTTCACTGTTAGTAGAAACATGGATTAGACTATCATCCCAAGCAGATGCAAAGGAGTATATCTCACAAAGAGCCTTGCTCATTGAGAAGTTAGATGCATCACTGATGGAAATTTTGTCTTAAAATAAAAATGTAGCATAGATTTTGACCCTGTATTCCCTGCCCCTCTTTTGTTTTTTTCCAGCGGGCTACCATTTATTCCATATCTGGATAACTTGCCAAACTTCAACCGATCAGTTGATGGACCAATCAGGCTGCCAATTGTTGATAAATATAAGGTATGCAACTAACCTGGAAAATACAGTACAGTTGCTTTAGCGGGCCAATTTTTCTTTTAATGTCAGGACTATGGGATGCTGGCTGTCCTGCTTCTACCTCCCTGCCCCCCCCCAAACTAAAGCAATCTAAAGGTGTACAAGTGCAAACTTTGCAAAATGTCCTTTTTCACATGCCAGGGAAAAAAGCATTTGGAAGTGCGAGTGTGAAATGATTCCAGGCTGCTTGAAACAGCAGCGTTGTGTGCGAAGTGGATGCTGAAATAGTTTGGAATGAAAAGTTTTGCATCCCTCTAGTACAAAACATATATCTGTTCTTCCCTTGATCTAAATAATTTGATATGTTCTAGTGATGATAGTGGAACTTCATAGCTTCAAGCCATTTCTCAGTGGTTCGCCACAATAATTAGAAGGAGAGACTATTTTGAAAGTGAAAGCGAAAGGTTTGGAGCGGTGAAGATTCTGGGTTGGTATCATAGGCCTCTAAAAAGGGGGCAGTGAATGCATGCATGGAAATACAGGAATACAGATTGCATGGAAAAATGGAAATACAGATTGCTAATCTGTAAAGTTGGGTGTGCATGTGAACCTTTGGAAGATCTAAAGTAGAGGTGGTAAGGGATGAAGTTTTGTATCATCATGTTGACCCCGTGGCTGGATTCACAAGACGTGCTCGTTAAAACGGGTTTGGGTCCCTTGTGGATCATTACAGTATGGGAATCCAGACATTGTCATAACATGTTATACAAACCACACCATCATGTTAAATTGTAATATGTTCAGTCATCACATCTTCAGTTCACTTAGCAGTTGCGTTTGGTTTCCCTAACTTCAGAGTTTAGCGTGTTGTATGAATCCAGCTGTATCTCTAAGTCTGACTCTATAACTTGTACTTAAATTAACTAGTGATAAAACATACAGTAGGTCTAAAACAATCCTGATTTCTGTGTGTTTGTTTTGGATTTATTTCTTCCCCTAAACCAGTGTTTCTCAACCTTGGCAACTTTAAAACGGGCGGACTTCAGCTCCCAGAATTCTCTAGCCAGCCACTTATTTAAGGTTGAGAAACACTGCCCGAAGCCTTTGCATTTGATTAATACACCTTAGATTCCTTGCTTAATTTGACTGCAATCACTTGGCATAAGTCATCGTAACTCTTGAGAAGTTAATCAGGCCCTGTTTTGATCATGTTTTCTTAACCTAGTTGTTGTTTTTTCTCTCTCCCTCCCTCCCCCACGCGAAGGATATGGGCACGGTGGTTTTGGGAAAGCTGGAATCAGGCTCTATTTGCAAAGGGCAGCAGCTTGTGATGATGCCAAACAAGGTATAGTGCATTTTCTTTTTAAGCCTGCAAAAATCACTCTTGGTTTTCCCAATGAAGCCATTTTTCACTCCTGGAAAGAATCAGCAGCTCTCAGGCCTCAGTCCATAGGCAGTTGAGCTCATTAGCCAATTTTTAGTTAGAAGACCCCTTGAGATTTGGGCTGCTACTTTATAACAGCAGCTAACAGTGGCAATCACCACTTGCAAGACAGTGGATGAATTTTGCAGGGAATATCAGTGAGCTGAAGATCAGGTTGTATTATTAGGCCAAAGTCCCATACCCAAAGCTCTCTTTTCCTCTTTCCTGTAAGAGAAGGTGGCTGCCGTATTGGCTTAAGAGAAGAAAGTGAATAGATGCTCCCGTTACAGTATTGCCCTCTGGGTTCTTCTGTTTCTCACAATGGTCACCCACTTGGTTTCATTTTTTTTTCCTCCCGAATGTCCCGAAGTGAGTGGAATTAAGATTTGGCCCTATGCTGTATTCTGCAGAATCCCTGGGTTCTGCTCCTTGAGTCCACTGCACTCAAGCAGGAGGTAGAGATGAAAAGCAGTCCGTGGCTAGACCAGTCCCAGGTTTCTGGGTATATTCTAGAAACAGAAGCTTGAATGAGACAGAAAATAAGGAAGTTGCTAGAATGCAGCTGTCTATTTGCATTTGCGGCCTTTTCGGTGTTTCATAAATGCAGTTTTCACACAAAGAAAGCATAAATAGGTATACTGCATTAGCAACCCCAAAATGCATAGACACGTGCAGAAAACATACCACAGAAGCAGTATTTTTGAATAGAAATTAAAGAGGTATCATTCAGAAGAAACTTCGCATGAATCTTTCTAGAGGCACAAGCCGGTTCAGAAATGATTGGAACAAAATAAGGATTGGGGAAATAAAGAAGTGAAATGGACAGATTATTCTGTCTGAACATTTCAAAACAGCATCTTATCTTCTAACGTAGATTAGGACTTGACCTGCCTGGAAGGTACTTGCCCTTTGCTGAATTTTAATTGAGACATATGCGAGGGATAACTTTCAAACCATCTGCTTTTCCACTCGGAAAGCCTGCTCACCAAGGACAGAGATCAGGTCATCAAAACCTCAAGCAGAAGTTCCCCTAGCACTTGTCCTTCCCAGAAATTTTCCTGAAAGAGAGTTCAGATTTCATGCAGTTACATAAATGTCATACCTCTCTGAATTGTTGGCGGAAAAGCAAAACCAAATGTGATCTGTCTTCTCTGTACTATATGCCAGGGATGGGCAACCTTTTGAGAGTTGGGAACCCTGCCTAGCTTTTGGGCTGAGTATTTAATACAAAGAGAATGTGGACAAAATGTGGATTTTCAATATTTTCAGGAGATATTGGGGTGGGGTGGCTAAGTTAACAATAATAAAAATGCAGTCTTGCTTAAGGCTTACAGTACAATTTTTATATGTTCTTAGTCTTACAATGGTGGAAAATTAGGTATTTTATTTTCATTGTGGCTGGAGAAAACTCCAGAATCCTAAAGATGGGTTCGGAAGCCACATATTCTCCCTGCTTCAGGTGAAATCAGTGAGAATCCTAGGTACTACTGTAAGGATGTGGAAAGCTAAAGAGAAAAATAAGAAAATTGACTTCGTTCTTAACCCCTGTAGTGGTTATTAAATAGCTCTCTGGTCCTGGCAGGCATTCTCTGTACCCTGATAATTGCCTTCAAAACAAATATTTCTCAGAATGTTTGCCTTCAACCAAGGAACTTTGTTTTGCAACTTCATTTTGGCTTCCCACCAGTTCTCAAATTTTAGTGGGTGGGATGTGGTTTCAGAAGTTATAAATAACCGGTGTGAGGGTTGTCTGGATTAATGCCATGTTTAGGTGCTAGTTTACAAAAACTGAAGACCAGAGCAGTCCTACCTGTTGGGGGAACCGAAACATCAGAGGCTCCAGCAAACTCATAACAGAAAGAGGGACATTTCTGTCCCCTACCCCAAGGGCTTTTTTTAAAATTCAAAGTACTGTAATATGTTTCATATGTGTGTCTTAGAAAGGAATGTTTTCCTGTACTGTTAAACTTGCTTGTCAAATGAAAACATTGGATGTGAGTTCCCTGGGGAAAGAACAAGCAAAATTCCAGGTTAAAAAATACATATTCAGCAGGAGAGAGGATCTTTGGATGCTGTTACTGGAGTAAGAAAGTGACAGCAAGTAAAGTATAAGGAGGAGGAAGATTTATTAAATTTATTTGCAGCCTGACTCCAGCACTCTAGGCAGTTTACAAACTATTAAAAACATTTTAAAACAAGGAACAATACAAAAACAACACAAAAGAAATCTGAATGAAATAGCCGCTTTGGAGAAAGCCCTACATTGCAAGTGACTTTCTGAAGCCTAGTTTTATTACTTGCTCCTACAGACTACAGATTTACCCCTTTCTATCTCAGTATTCAGTCACATTTTAAAAAAAAAGCATTCACAAATGATCTGAACTATATTAGAAAGCCTCCTTTCCCACTGAAATCAAGGGAACTAAAATGAAGCCATAATTTTGCTTGTTGTCCGCAATGTAACTGTACAGTGGAACCTCAGGTTACGAACGCTTCTGTTAACGAACTTTTCGGGTTACAACCAGCTCCGGCCGCAAAATTTTGCTTCGGTTTGCGA